GAAGTCCCGTTGTATTTTGGAAGGTCTGGAATTCCAAACTTCTTTGGGATAGGTTTTGGAGCTGCTTCCTCTGGGAACGACCTTTGTACGAACTTCTTCGAATCCACGCCTTTTAGGACCGGGGGTGCGTCCGGAATCTGGTCGACCCTAGAGTTGTAGGTCTCGACCTTTTTGTCGTTGGCTTCTATCTTCTTCTCACCCAATTCGATCCTCTTTGTGAGGTCCTCGAGCATCTTTACTATGGCAGGGTCGCCTACCAACCCGTTGTTGCTTGACCTCTCCAGTACCTGCTCGGTCGAGGGAGCCGTCCCTGGCGCAACCGTGATGGGAGTTTTCCGGTGACTTTGCAACTGAGCAATCGCTAGCTGTTGTGCCTGCAACATTTCAAAAATAACGTGAAGGCCAACCTCCCGTTATTCCCTAGCCGGGGATTCCTAGGCTTCTTGTTGGTCTCCTTGGTGCACGCTCATGTTAGTGTGGGAGGTTACATCGACGTGTTGAGCATCGCGTGAGACCGCGTCCACGGAGGTCGGTTCTGGCGCGTTCTTAGGGTTTTGCGGTGGTACACCAATACCTGGAACATCTACACCATTTTTCCCGTGGTTCTCAAGATTGTTGTTTACTGATACGGACATTTTGACTTGAAATCAAAGACTCTGGGCAAGAAAAAGCGTGAAAGATAAATTACATTATGTAGCTAAACCAACAAGAAAATAATCACTATTATTTTTAGCCTCATGAGGGTGCCAAACTATTTACCGTGAAAATGATAATAACAATTAAATTTGATTTAGTGGTTCTAAAAATACGTGATCTATTTTTATGCTAGCTGTTAGGCAGTTGATACTATGTGGGAGACTTAGAAACAAAATAAAGGTTTAAGTACGAGGTGTTAATCAAATCGAATCGCTGTCAATCGGAGCCTCGAGCTCTTCTATTCGAAGGCTTTGGGGTCGAGTCTGAAGTTCGTCTAGGAGCTATCGAAGGCGGTCGATGGTGAATAACAGTTATAAACAGATTAAAGGCGGCTATTTATGGCCAATAATAAGTAATAAATGATGAACAATAAGTAGAACGCAATAAATATGGGCGATAAATAAGATAACGAAACCAAGAGAATGTTCTGGTATATTTAGTATGGAGCAACAGATGTTTATAAAATGACAAGGATCCGCTTTATATAAAAGAGGGAATCCCAACATAGTACAAGTGCATTTATTACAAAGATATAGGGCTGATACAACCATTAAACGCGTTGATTCGCCTTTTGGGCTAATTCACTAGACTTGAACTGCCATATGCACGTGCCTTGGGAACTCCACCTAGATCCGTCGAGACCGGTAATTCACAATGTCCCGAAACCGGTCATTAATTATATTGTCTCAAAGTCTACCATTGAGAATTCTCGGGGTCTATTACTGGAAGCCCTCGGGATGACTTGATGCTCGTGAAATCGAGCAGTCGATTTTCACCGTATACATATATATATTAATTAACCTCTTTGTCCTTCATTTAAACACCACTCTTATAATATTTTTGTAGCAAAAGCAAAAATATCTCATACTCTTTCCGTTCACTTTTACTTATCCAGTATTCTAAAAATAGATTTTTACTTTTACTTGTCACTTTTAGCATATCAAGAGAAGATAATATCTTTTTTTTTTCTGTTATACCCATATTATTAATTACTCATTTCAAATTATTTTCTCAAATCCATTAAAAATATGCATAAATTAATATGTGTATCATGATAAATTTTATATGTACTTCATTAATTATTTTTTAATGGGCGTGCAAAGTCAACCGTGGACATAAAAATGAACGGAGGTAGTAATAAATTGAGCCTTTAATTTTCTACTACATTTTATATGAAAACATAAAATCAAAGTAACGCATGAAATATTTTTTGAAACTTGTGAAACATTTTTGTATTCCCAATCAAATTCACCTAACAATCCAATTGAAACTCTTTCGGTCATTTTCATTTTCATAGTCTTTTTTATTACTTTTAATTTGATAACTACTAATATGCATCTGGTCTATTGAAAACGTCTGCTACTTTTGTATTCCCAATTAAATTCATAGAATATTTGCTTTGAGAACATTATAGTTGTGAAAATGAGTTTTTTATGTGTAGGAAAAAATTGAGTTCGCTTTGAGCCAAAGTATTATAGATGAGTCTCAAATTTCGTCAAATAATGCCGTTAGTAAGCTGCTAGGAAAAGAGCACATTGGAAGGGTGAGGTGTTTGGGATTAGGCCCTGTCCCTAGTAGAGTTTTTAAATAAGTAAGACCTTGTTTTGGTGGTACAAGTTCTTCAAGTAGTGAAGGTTCATGTTCATCCCAATGTCAACATAACCATAATCAAATGATGAATGCTCACAATCAAATGATGAACACTTTCAAGGCATATATGATAATGAAAAAAGGGACTATACCAGAACAGTTTGCGGGGTTTTTTGCTTCTCCTTCGACGATTTCTCCTACAACGGTAAGTAAAGTTCTTCAATTTTTTTTCACTTTAATTTGTCTATATGCAAAGATAGAGTGGCTTAGATTAGTACTATTCTTGTATGTTGTATATGTTTTCTTTGTATAACTCCTCTCTCTCTCTATTATTTTTCTTTTTGATTCTAGCATGAATTAGTCTCACTTTCTAATGGGATGCACAAATATCTTTTTTCTCAGTCCAATAAAAAAAAGACTACAATGATGATCTAAATTTGAGTTTTAAGTACAAAGGAAGCTTGGAGAGTTGCACTTATTTGCTTAGGGTATTTAGTAGAACCTAGAGTTACTGCAGTTTCCGATTCTGGCATGATTTTTATACTTTGTTTTTTTATGCATCCAAGTGATGCGGACAGTGGACCCCTTTTGCCAATGGACGCAAGAAAATCATGTGGTGCTAGTAATTCTAGTGGCAACCGTTGATGTCATTGTAATTGTCTTAGATAATTAATTATGACGATGTAATTGTGTGGTTGAAGCAGATGTTAGAATGTTGGAGTGAATGTTTTATGTTTAAAATAGTTTTTGAGTGATGCTACTTAATGTTGACAATTTAGTTTTAAAGACTAATGATATTTTATGATAAAGTTTTGTGATTTAATGATATTTTATCGATATTTTTTAACTTTTAAATATATTTTTTTGCTTTGATTATGATTTACGGCATAATTAGTAATTTTGTTAATAATATATGAATTAAAAAGTTCAATAAATTCTTGAGGTTATGACTGACATGAGCTTTAAATATAAGCTAATAAAAAAGAATAAAAATTATATTGCGGAAGGTTTAAAACCGCCGCAATTCGTAACTGAAAATTATTTTTAAAAAATTTAAGTTTTAGATCTGCGGGGGTCAACCGCCGCGAAGTAACCTCCGCTACTTAGCAAAAAATTGCCCCAAATCGATTGCGACGACTCTTATTGTGGGGGTTTTAATGACGGCCACAACAACATATTGCAGGAATTTTAAACCGCCGCAACCCTTTAACCTCGCAATTAGGCCTTTTTTTTGTAGTGAAAAGACTAAAATGCAGTAGTAATATTAACTGGCTACCGCTCCATGGATAAGAAGGAAGACCAAGACTGTCATTATTTTCGTCAATAGTAATTTAGCAAATTAACTTTGCAATTTTGGGTCACTTTATGAGCCTAACAAATCACTTGTCTATATGAATAATATATTTAACAAGTTTTTGGATATGATGTGCCTTTAAACAATCATTGGTGTTGCACCAAGTTAGAGGAGCTGTTTGTACCAATAAGAGCTTAATGACGTCTGCTACAAAGATAAGAACCAATGCGGCTAAGCACTTTCTTCTTTTGCGTTCCGGCAAATAGTTTTTGGAAATGATTTCTTTAGTTTTTACTCGAAGTATATAGCTTTCTTGCCACCTTGAAGGTGCTTTGAATTTTTGAAGCAAGGTATCACATGTATCTGGATCACCATAAGACACATCAAGAACTTACGTTTTTTTTTTTTAAACTCTTGTAACTCAAATATAATTTTCTGATAATGTTGGTATAATATTCTAAAAGTTTTAGTTATATTCATTGATATTGGATACACGCGCAAGATGCGTGCACAGAGACTAGTATATATATATATAAACAACTAGACTTTATTAAATTTTCTCATCTTATCCTTAGTGATATATGCTTTTAGAGAACCAAAAATGTCTCGACATGTTTCATATCATAAGTTTAAAAAGTTTTAGTTTCTTATTTTAACAAATCAAACTAATTCACATAAATTAAAACAGGCGGAACATTTTTTAAGGAATTTGCCGGAGAGGGGTGGCTATTCTGCGTCTTCGAATATTCCTTCTCTCCATTGACATTATTAAGCACACCTTTCAAGACTAAGCTTCAACTAACGAATACGTATTTGGTAGTTTGGTTCATGCACTTCTGCTCAAGACACAATGTTAAGTGAGAAAGACATATTATAACTCCTTCAAAAAGTTATTTTTTTAGGTACTTAACCTTTTAGAAAACCTATTCAGCACACTCCAAAGTCAAAAACCTTACTGGTTATTCTTGGGTGGCCATTTAATAAGTCACAGATTCTTTTCCTTTGCGTAGGTCATTCCAATGCTATATGAAAAGGCAGTCCGGTGAACCAAGCTCCCGCTATATATATATNTCAATCCCAAAATACTTGTCACTTTTCGCTTGTTGAGAGTTAATTTAACTAATTTTTCAAGGTAAATTTGATTATATTAATTTATTATTATAAAATTAAAATTTAGATATTCAAACACTATACAAAAGTATATTAAAATATTGATCAAAGTTAATGTAATTTAAATCTCAGAAAGCGAAAAATGATAAGTATTTTGGGACTGAGGGAGTAACTAATGGTCCAGTATCATTTTAAATATGAAAAATATTAGCAAAGCAATGGGGGTGACCATGAAACTCGTCTATTCTTTAATTATTATTTAACTCTGATTTTATGAATTGTAACGTTGAATTAGACATGAAAATGAGCATTTACTAGCAACTGCAAATATTTCAATTGTATTACGGATTCAACGGCAACATCAGAAATTTCAAAGAAAGAGACCCTTTTCACAAACATAATGAAAGGAAAACGACGTACATTATTTTGTACAAAAACTAAAAACTATTTATCCGGAAAATTTTATTTTGTGTTTCATTCAACTTACGCTAGTTGTATGAGACAACTTTTTGTCTCACAGTTTTGTGGACCCAGAATTCTGTGGACCCAGCAGTGTAAGATTGGTGTCCACAATTTTGTGGGATAAAAAGGGGCCTATACAACTAGTGTCAGTTGTACGAGACACAAAATAAAACTTTTCCTGTTTATCCTTATAACCATGAATAGTAAATCAAACGGATTCCGTATGCGTCGTTGTCATCTCAGCTTCTGGGCTTTTATTCTTCTCCTTCTTTGTTTGTCTGAACTCTCCATAGAAGTATGAGACAAAACCCCAAAGAGAAAGGAAAAGAGCAAGACCCTTTTCACCTGAAAACTTTTCCTTAAAGAAAATTACAGCTAATACCTCTGTAACGGGGAGCAAAACTGCGATCATAACCCCAGACATCAAAGAAGAAGAGCAGTAGATAACTCCTATAATACCCACGAAGAAGCACTCCCAAATAGCGGCAGTGCATACTATCACTGTATAATATCTAGCTTCTCCGAGGTTAAATTGTTTTGCCTCCCTTGACATTGCCTGCAAATATCAAGCAATATCTTAATCTTTGACATTTAAAGAGATCCTCTATAGCTAAAATAAAATTTGTAATCCCTTTTTCATTAAAAGAATGACACTATTTTCTTATTAGTTAGTTTAAAAGAATATCACACTTTTATAATTGAAAATAATTTAACAATAATTTTTTGTTTTACTTTTAATGAAAATATTTTATAACCACACAGATATTAAGAAACATTAAAGATCATAAATGTCTTAGAGCCACAAACTATAGTGACATGTTTATGTCCAATGTTTCAAGCTTGTGATTTTAAATGTGTCATAACATTGTGTGCCAATAAAAACTTCTTATTAAGGTTAAATTAGAAATTTAAATTTAAATAATTTCCTAAAGTAGAAACATGTCATTTTATTTGAATCAAAGCTAGTAAGGAAAAGATTTAAGTCATTTACACACTTACAGTGTAAGGTTCTTAAAGATTTAAGTTATTTACACACTTACAATGTAAAGTTCTTATACATTATTAATGTACTGTAGCTTGTGATGCCGTGTCAATTGCTATTTTTATGAGGCTACAATTAATGTATCATAAAAATTAACTCTAATTATCTCATAAATGACTTAATTATATAAATAATATTACTTGACGATGCACATAATTTAATTCCAGAAAACAATAGTGTCACATAAACTGCAACAGAGTAAATAAGATGCATGTGTAGAAAGGAGTTACAGTGGAAGGAAAAAATACCTGAAAGTCTTTATTGGCGATCATTCCTACAGTGCAAAAGGCAGTAGCAGCAAAACTCATGATCATTTGAATCTCTAACACCAACGTAGCAGTAATAGCTTGTTTTGCCTTCATGTAAATCAACTCAATACAAGGCAAAATGACTCCATACAAAGCTGCTGCTAAAAGTGTCATCATAAAACCAATAATATATTCTTTACTTGTCACGCCCTCTGGTCGATCACCATTAGATCGGATACCCAATAAAACAGCACCAACTGTTAGTAAAACCACTGCATTGATAGAGAAGGGTGATAACTTCAACTTCACTATGAAAAAAGCACCTACTGCCGTGAAGGCAAGTTGAGCAGCAAGAAGAAGTGAAGAGGTTGATACGGGGAGTTTTGACCCGCCCCACGAATATAGAAAATCATCAAGACCAGTGGCAATGCCAATGACAAATGCTGCAATAAAAATTCGAGGTGTCATCAAGTAAAACTTGGCATTTGAGCCTTCGATTTTTCGACGATAATAGTATAGGAAGGCAAGAGGTATAAAGGTGAGTGGCCATCCACCCGTTTGTAACCAACTACTAAGCCATATTCTTGAACCTCCCTCGACATAATATAGACGCATCATTAGAGGACCACCACATATGCCAACAGCGAGTATTAAGCAACTAATCAGTAGGAGGATTCTCCTCATAGTGGTGCTTAATCCTGGATGTTCCATATTTTTTTTCTAGAGATTTGGATACTAAATTGGAGTATTCTGTTACTCAGGCTGAAATGCTTTTCTTCTCCAAAGGTTTTGATTTTTGGACTTGTTGCATTGATGAGATGAGTAGCCTGGTAGTATTTATAATTGAGAAGTGGCCCCACAAACAATAAGTGAAACATAAATGAAGAATCAACATAGTCGTAATTACAGCAGTATTGATAATTTTCTTATGATTCACAAGGGAAGTTTGTAACAATTAAAAAAATATATTAGAGCAAAGACTAAAGAAGCAATGATTGTGAGTAATTTTGTTATTAAATTGCAGCGTTGAATTTCAAGAAAAACTAGTATGCCCACCATGGCTTCTGCCGCGTAAATAGCCATAACCACACTACTTGTTGGCGTAAAATTTTGCATTTCCTCTTCTGAAGAAAAAGATGTGGATTTAAATTAAGGGTATGGGACAAACGTGGATTTTAATTAACTTTGTTTGACTTGAATAATTATGAGTAGCCACCCATATGCCAACTTTGTTCGAATTGAATAATTTATGCCAATATTAACAACTTAAATTAGTTTTCTGTCTTATTCCCACTCCCCCACCTCCACCTAACTTGGAGTTGACTTCTTTTTCTTATAATTAAACAAAATGACGCGAAGCTCGTGGATATATTTCTATTCGAAGTATAGCTATCTGACATTTTGAAGGACACAACGATCTGAAACCATTTTCCGTATTTACAGAATATTTCCACAGCTTCTTCTTTCTTTTTTTAAATAAAAAATACTCCTCACGTTTTGACAGATCAAAAATTTATTGCATTCTCTTTTTTTTCTTCTTTTTGAGTACCACTGATCTTACTCTTTGTCCACAAATATCGGAGTTGACTTTAAAACTGCATCTGCTAGTTGCTTGAACGTTCTTAGAGTCAGCTTAAATTTAGCATCAATAGCTGTCCCGTTGTACAATTTTTCAAGCAATCCTTTCTATATAGTCTGGAGATATTCGTGTTTTTGTTTTTTATACGTCTTGAGGTTTTTTTTTTTAATCCATGGAGTCTCCACAATCTTTTTTAAAACAAGAACCAACAATGAGTGGCTGTATTTTATTAATGAAAATCCCAAAAGAAGGAACAAATTTAAAGCGAAGGGGACTAGGCCAAACCCTCACAACAGCACTGTACAATCTGATTATGAACGTTATCTATATGTTAAATGAGCTTTTCTTGATTATCATCAGAAAAGTAATCCACATTTGTCCTTTGAGAGATTATTAATTTATTCATTCCTTGTTTTCTTATTAAGGAATTGATAGTTTGATACTATGTAGAAGAAAACAAACTGTAAACTGTTGGCTAAAGAGAAAGTTCAGTTATTTATTAGGGTTATGGCACAACTTTCAGAATCAACTAGGAAAATTCATGGTGTTAAATAGGGGCACTCACGGTTCAACGAAAAAGCTCTTAGAAATTATATGAAATGCGTGCTTTCATGTGAGCTTTATAATTCATTAGTTTTACTGTAATTTTTTGTTAAACTTTTTGTTCGAGATGATAATTGATAATAATTCAGCCACGCACAATATTTCACGTATGTATGTATCTTAAGTTCTATGTATTGATTGGTATAAAAATATTTATAAAATCAGGTCACTTATAACATAATTACATATAAATATCTATAATAAATATTAAGTAATTGTGCTCGTTTTGAAAGTAAATTCTGTGTTCTGAGGCTTTAAAAACCTCTTTTTGTCTCATTTAGATTTGCGTGCGCAGTCCGGACGCATTTCCGAAAAGCTTTCATGTGAAAACTAAGTAAAATAAGGAAATTGGCTTTTAAAATTACTTAAAGTTGACTTTGGTCAACATTCTTGGTAAACGAACCCGGACCCATGATCTGACGGTCTCGTAGAGTCCGTAGTAAAATATGGGACTTGTGCGTATGCCCGAAATCAAATTCCGAGGCCCCAAGCCCGGGAAATAAAATTTTGAAGGAAATTGTTTAACAGAAATTATAAGAGTTTTTGGAAAAGAAAAGATATTTAAAATTGATTAAGATTTTTGGAAAAGAGTTTTTGGTTCCGGTGCCCAGAATCTTATACAATAATTAAGTTGAATCTGTGAAGTTTGGTAAGAATCGGAGTTCGTTTAGTATAAATCGGACCTTTATTTGAGAAATTGAAAATTTTGATGTTCTTGAGTGATTTCATGAATTTGAGGCTTAATTCATAGTTGTTGATGTTATTTTGATGATTTGATCGCACGAGCAAGTCAGTATGATGTTTTTAGATTTGCATGCATGTTTGGTTTGGAGCCCCGAGGGCTCGGGTGAGTTTTGGATAGGCTGTGGAGTTAAATTGGAGTTAGGAGCAATTGTTGGTATCTGGTATTTTTGCCCAAGCCTTTAATCTCGCAATTGCGAGATCAAGCTTCGCAATTGCAAAGTGGACAGGCTTGGAAAATGTGACCACAGTATCGCAAATGCGAACCAAGTCTGGGCAGGCCCTTTTCGCAAATGCGAACACTGGGTGGGAATTGGGAAGCTCTCCCAATCGCAAATGCGATGTTTCCTTCGCAACTGTGAAGGTGACAGGATTTTCCCATGGTCGCAAATGCGACAGATTCTTCGCATTTGCGAAGACAACAAGTTCCAACATCTGCACCTGTGTAAATCATAACTTAGACGAAAATTCTTCATTTTTCAAACTCTCTTAAACCCTAATCTCTCTTGGGCGATTTTCTAAAGAAAAGATCTTCTCCAAATCAATTGCAGGTCATTTCTAACTCATTTCTCCAATCTATATCATCTTTTCACATGATTTCAATACAAAATCAAGGGTTTTCATGGGGGAAATTGGGTGTTTTGGGTAGAACTTAGGATTTTCAAATTTTGGGGATTTGGACATCGATTTGAGGTCCGATTTCAAAATAAATTATATATTTGAGTTCGTAGGTAAATGAGTAATCGGGTTTTGGTTCGAACCTCGGGTTTTGACCATGTGGGTCTGGGGTCATTTTTGACTTTTTGGAGAAATATTTAGAAACCCTATTTTCATGTATTAGAATTGATTCATTTACTCCCTCCGTTTCAATTTATGTGAACTTATTTTCTTTTTGGTCCGTGCCAAAAAGAATGACCCATTTCCTTATTTGGAAATAATTTACTTTTATGCAATGATTTATAGCCACAAAAAATATATGTGCCTCATTCTACACCACAAGTTCAAAAGTCTTCTCTCTTTTCTTAAAATCCGTGCCCAGTCAAATGGGTTCACATAAATTGAAACGGAGGGAGTAGCATTTATTGATATCGTTAAGTAAATTGTGGCTAGATACAAGCTAATTGGTAGTAAAAATAAGAGGTAAAGTGGTAGTTGAGGCTTGAATTGTGTTCGTGGCATTGAGGTAAGTATTTGGCTAACCTTAGTTTGAGGGATTATGAGTTGTGTCTTATTTACTATGTGTTAATTGTTGAGTACGACATATAGGTGTGGTGACGAGTATCTATACGCGGTGTCACGCATGCCCGTGAGTATTATACTATGATTAATGTGACTCCGTTTCGTATTGTTCATGTTTTATATGATGATTTCTATTGTTGAACAAGGCTTGTGGAAGTATTATTGGTAATTGAATATTGTAGAGCGTTGGCTCAAGTTGAGAATTGAGTTGTGAAGTAATTGTGAAAAAGAGGAAAGGTTTATGATATTGTCTCTCTTGCCGGGAGGTTATTGCTTTTGATACTATCTCTCTTGCCGAGATGTTATTACTCATGATATTGTTTCCCTTGCAGGGATATCGTTGTTATGTTATTGTTCCTTTGCAGGATTCTATTGTGATTTTATTGATTCCCTTGTTCGTATTGCTTTGTGATTGTTGCTTGGGTAAGGAAGAGTGTAAAGGCATGAAAGGTGATGTCGTGCATGATATTTGTGAGAGAGTGTTAATGCACGAAGGGTGAAGCTGTGCCGATATTGTGAGGTAAAAGCAAGAAGGGTACTGTCGTGCCATACGATGTACAATGTTGTGTCATGATATGAGTGATAATGCACGAAGGAAAATTACGTGCCATGATTATGTGAAGTAAAAAACACGAAGGGTGATGCCGTGTCGATTATATTGATTTTTATGGTAAGGACGAGAGCAAAAGCACGAAGGGTGATGTCGTGCACTTGTCATTGATTTCCTTATTCTACTTATAGTTGAATTTTGGTGTTCTGTATGTTTCTTTGCTGAATTTCTATTTGTACATGATATTTCCCTCGAGCATGTTTCCCCATTCCCATCTTTAACTACTAGTTTCTGTCATTATTACTTGTTGTATATGATTTAACTGCACGTGTTTATTTGGTAGTCTTGTCCTAGCCTCGTCACTACTTTGGCGAGATTAGGCTAGACACTTACCAGCACATGGGGTCGGTTGTGCTGATACTACACTCTGCACTGTGTGCAGATCCCGGTGCTGGAGCTTTTGGACCACAGTAAGGTTGCTGCCTTCAGTCCATCAGGAGACCCGAGGTAGTCCTACAGGCGTCCGCAGGCCTTGGCGTCCCCTTCTTATCTAGTTTTCTTCTGTTCTTTACTATTTCAGAGACAGACATGTATCTATTTTGTTCTGACCCTATTTGTAGTATTCTTAGATAGTCTGTGAGATTGTGACACCAGTTCTGGGTAGCTTATGTTTATGGATTTGTATCGGTATTATTTTAAATTGTTATATTTCATTCTTCCGCTTTATTATTTCTGTTGTTTATAAAATGTTAATTCACAATTGTTAAGGGATTAAAAATAAAAAGGGTAAAATAACTAAAATAATTGGCTTGCCTAACTTTTACTAGTATGTGTCATCACGACTTCCGAGAGTGGGAAATCTCGATCGTGACAAATTGGTAACTAGATAACATGATAACTAATATGCTATAATATATTAAAGTCGAAACAGTCATCGGAACTATATAAACGATGAAGGAGACATAATATGATATCTTGGTTAAGTAACAATAAAACTCGAGAGATTAAGCTCCTAAGAGCATATGTATTGGTTCATCAAAAGTGACAATAATATATTTGCCATTAAACAGCTATGCAACTTCTACATCACGAAAACAAATATATCGGTTG